GCACCCCGACCGCCCGGCCCGCGCGCCCGCGCCACCCGCACCCCCGCAGCCCACGCCGCCCTGACCTGCAGCAGCAGTTTGACCCTCTCGATGGGGGCGACTGCGGTCTTGGAGACGGCAGCGGCGACGCCCCCTGCCAGGAAGTCCTTCAGGAAGCTCAGCGCGTGGTCACTCATGATGACAGCCGGGCGCACACCGCCTGCAAGCAGCCGGGACCTCGCTCTCGCCTACGCCCGGGCCGGGCTGCGCCACCCCGTCTCCGTCCCCGCGCCGTGCGAAGGGGCCGCTGGCGTCGCCCCGCAGCCCTCCTTATATCCCCCGCCCAGCGTCTCGCGAGAGGAGGAGGGCCCGGGCCCGCGCGCGCCCCGCGCATTGGCTGGGCAGGTGCTCGGACACCCCCTCCCCGTCCCCCTCCTCTGCAGAGGGCATCGGGGGCGAAGACGCTTCCGCCAGGCAGGGCTGGGCCGGGGGCTGGACCTTCGGCTTGGGACATTTAAAGGGCAAACTCGTGTTCTCTGTCCCGGCGAGCAGAGGGAACACCGTGTCACTGCAGCATGTGGGCCGCTGTATTTATAGCACAAGAAGGCTTAGGCTGGGGCCGACCTGGGGACCGACACGGGACCCGCTGCTGAGCTCAAGCAGGGCTTGCTTTAACCTCGGCTCTGCACGGGACGAGCTCCTGGCCAAGGCATTTCGGGTCTATTTTTTTCTTCCTGTAGCAGCGGCGTGTCTCACCGGAGCTCGCTGCCTGGATTTGGGCCTGTTCAGAGCTGTGCACTCTTGGAAATAAGTTAGGATCCTCCTAAGTAGAGGCTAACGTCACTTGACGGTGCGATGGCCTCCTATAATCTGGCAATCCTCTGTCTCCCACTTCTCTTCGTTCAGTAGTTCAGTTATTCGTTCTGCTAGCAAATATTTATGTGCCTGGCACTCAGTGCCACAAGGAAAAGCCGGGTGCAGGGGACCACTGGGTGAACACTTGTTTTAGCAAAGGGTGCGTGTGTGTGTTGCTTTTCTGTTAGGGCGGCCTGTAACACCATGACACACAGCCTGATGACTCTAAAACACTTGTAGGACACATCTTTTGTCAGCCGCTGAAGGGCTTAATGTGCCACTCCGCTCTCAACGGAATCTCAGCACATATTCTGGGTAGAATGTTCCCAGTCAGCTGGCGCCTTCTTGAGGGTCAGTGCTGTCAACCTTCCAGAGAGGGTTGAATCGTTGGCTGTATTTGCCTCTTCTTAATAGGCTGTTGGGGTTAGGGAGATGTTTCTAGTCCCAGGAAATTGATTGCAATTAATTTTTTAAATATGTTAATACGAGATTTAATTTTTCGTAACTTTTTTTTTAGCCAGTTCATGTAACTGTACAGGTTTACCAATACAGCTGTTCATTCCCCTAGAAAAATTGCAATTAGTTTTTAGCTCTAAACTCTACTCAGTTCTCTCCCCATGTTTGCTAATTTTCATTTGTCCATTTGACTAGGTTTATTTTTTTCACAAAGCTTTTTTTTTGGCTGCCGCTGCTAAATGCAAACACCCCGTTAGGTGTTTATTGAGCTGCAGCTGTGTGTCACTCTGTCCCTGGAGACTTCAGTAGAGCAGAGGTCACTAGTTGGGCACCAGAACCACAGAGGGTATGCATTTGTCCGAGGTTGGGGCAGGCCAGAGTTCAGAAATCCAGGTGAGCAGTATGAAAGCTGGGAACTGGTGGAAAGCTGCCAGAGCTCAGAGCAGACAGAAGGTCAAGAGCTCAGCACGGCCAAACAGAAAAGCCATTTATGAATTCATTCAACATACACTTGCTGAGCATTTATTGCATACCAAGAAGTAGGTTTGGCCCTGTGGATCCAATATAAGTAAGGAATGGCTCCTCTCCAAGGACTGTACAGTTTAGTGTCTGTGTCACTTGTTCAGCTTCATTTATCACAGTTTCACATGTAGATTTCTGAGGATCAACATAATCCATATATTAGTCATTTTAAATTATAATGGTGTACTGTATTTCATCCTGTTAATATAGAGCAGTTGCTTAAACCATTTTCCTTTTAAATGTGCGTCAGAGTTGTTTCTTATTATTATGAAAAATAATGCTGCTATATTAACACTTTTGCACAAATTTTATTTTCTCCTTTAAGTTTTTTCCTTCTCAAATCTTCCCAAAATGGAATGGATAGATTGAAGATTTTTTAAATTTTGTAGCTCCTGCTACATACAAATTGCTCATCAGAAATATGGACCCACCCGTAATGTAGATGGACTCTTGTTTCTCACAGACTCTCTCCTCCAACACTGGCTTTAAAAAATAAATAAATAAAATGCATCTTTAAGTATTTGTGCCATTTAATGAGTTCTAATTTGCATTTCTTTAATTGCTATGAAACTGCATATTCCATATGATTCCATTTAATTTGGCAGGGTTTTCCTTTTAGTCTTCCTTGACTACTTATCGAGAGAAAGTAGAGTATTTGTCTATACTAACAACAATTCTTTATGTATTTGGGGCAATAAGTATGTGTTCAAGTATTTTTCATTTTGATGTTTTGCCTTTGACATTTATTTCGTTATATTGTTCTATCACTGTTATTTATTTAAATATGAGCATATCTATATTATGATGATATACTTTATGTTCTGATATGTGTAACTCTTTTGTAGATATATTAGTTATTTGCCCTTATAGATATTTTAGTCTATTTTCTTCTACTTTTGGTAGTTATTTTTTAAATGCCTCATACTACATTATATATTTTAAGGAGGTGTAGATCTAATTTCACTTTTCTCAATACCATTCTTGGGTATCCCAATACTACTTCTTAAGTAGATATTTTCTTCTAGCCATTATTTGTCTTACAGTAGTACTAATTCTAGTTTGTCATATTAAGTTCTTATGATAGCATTAATTTATGAAATCTCCATATTATGACAGATTTATCTGATCACTGTTCTTTTAAAAAAAAAAACTGATATGTGATTCTACACCACACAAAAAGTTTTGTCTGCTTATATGTCTGGATCTACTTTTGCTGTCAAGTTGTTCAATTATTTAAACATCAAAATATTTACTGATATGTGATTCTACACCCCACAAAAAGTTTTGTCTTCTTATATGTCTGGATCTACTTTTGCTGTCAAGTTGTTCAATTATTTAAACATCAAAATATTTTTAGCAAATGTTTAAATTAAATTAAATATTAACTTAATTAACATATTAGTTCAGGAAGTATCATCTTCTTTGTTACATTAATTATACCAGTCAGAACTTTTGATATTTTCAAAATGGGATATATCATATTTCTACTTGGCTTCTCCTCAATTATCCTGTTATGTAGGGGGAGCTGTAGCTGGAATCCCCGTCAAGAGGCTTTCCGTGGAAAACCATACACTGTTCTCTCCCTCCATGGACTTTCTCAGAAAAGAGAGGCCTCAAATGCCCTCAAGAGCATGAGCTGTCTGTGGTCACAAGATCAAGGTATCACTTACACAGGCAGGGAGAGAATGGCCTTCTGCAGAACATGTGTCTACCCGACAGTCCCAGTACTCAGTGGATTTCTGCCAGCATGAGAATGGAAAAGGAATCTAGGAGACAGGAGAAAAATCTCTGCTTTCAAATGTTGTACAGTATCCTGGAGGCTGGGGGGAACAGGGCTATGGAGAAAGGAGAGTAGGGTATTGAGCTAGTCTTTTGGCTTTGTAGTGGATGCTTTTACAGAATTAACCTCTTTTACCAAATTTTAAATAAAGAAAGGGAGCTGTTAAAGAGTAAAAGGCACAAGAAATAAAACCACCTAAGGATTTGCTGATGGTGGTGATAATGCAGTGCCTGTGTGCGGGTGCACATCTAAAACTGTTAGGATTAGAATACACTACTACTGTTTGTTCATATAGTAAATTTCAGCATGAAGCAAAGAGGATCAAGAAATTTATTTTTAATCATTTATGACACGTCTGAATTGCTGAATGTCAATCAAAGATACTTAGTAGACTCATTCACATTGATGGACTGCTTTGAAAGGATACAACAAAATAAATGAATATTTCTCCACAATTCTCACTCAGGATAGTTCAATGAATTAAAATAATATCTATCTCAATTAGCAAATTCTTTATAATCAAGTGCCTTTACATAAGTTTCTTATTAAAGGGCACACACACACCACACACACCTTCAGAAATCATGAGTGCTCATGCAAAACGCTCCAACCACCAGCAGTTAGCTAATGCCAAGCAAAATTATGATACTGCAACATGTGTCGTCTTTTTTTTTTTTAACTCGTTATTTATTCTAGACTCTTTTTATCCTTTAGTGGTCAACTCCCTTTCCTCCTACTCTTACCCAACAACATTGAAGTAATTTGAGCCATTAACACCCAATTCATTCACTCTTCTTTTTCCCCTTTTGTCTTTCTACAAGCATTACTGAGTACCTACTCTAGATACCAAACGCTCGGAAGGGTTCTGGTAATACAAAGCTCAGAAAGATAAGAGTGCTGCCCTGGAGAAGCTCATGTCAGGCACAGACATACCCGTGCTGCCTACAAAGCTATTCCAACACAACGACAAGAACCCAAGTAAAGGCTCTGGTAGTACTTGCAGGTGAATGCCTTTCATGGGCTGCCTCACATTAAAGAACTTGTATTTTCAACATTTTACTAATGCTTATGAAGCAAAAAAATTTGTTAGAAGGATTTGGAGTCTTATTGTTTAAATAAAGAGATTTTGGGGGTCAGAGGAGTCCCAGAATCACAGAAAAGACAGTCAGAGGGACTCCTCCCAGAAGGCTCTCTGCTTCCTGGAGAAATCGAGTCAGGTTGGCCCATTGGTTGCTGGAGGCCAGAGCGCCTGAGTGCTCTCCAGTTTTTGCAGCACCCACCAATTGACACTGGCAGATTCTGCGCTTCCTAAAGACAGACCCATAACTTCCCTTCTCCCACTTCCAATCTTAGCACCCCTTCTTACTTTACCTAAGACTCTAACAAGCATACGTAGTATTTTGTGACACAAGGAAGCTTCTTGTTATGCATGTATGATAACTTTCCGTATTGACATCTTCTTTTTTTTTTTCCTTTTTGTCTTTTTTCGTGACTGGCAACGGATCGCAACCCTCAGTGTCACGACCGGACCGGGACCGGCAACGGGATCGCAACCCTCGGGGTTGTGCCCGCACCTCGCTCAGCCAGTGAGCGGGAACCGGTCTGTATGTGGGATCCGAACCCTCGGCAGGAGCGCCACCGCGCTCCCAAGCAGCGCACTGTAGCAGTGCGCCACCGGGCCGGCCCCGTATTGGCATC